GCCAAGGAGCAAATATATTGGTGGTTTACCACCGCTATACTTGTAAATATATTGGTGGTTTACCACCACTATACTTGTAAATATATTTTGTTTAATTTTGAGATAATCATGGTAAAATTAAAGCCCTCTTCTGAAGTCAAAATTGTTTTTTGTTTTATGACGGTTTTTTGATATTTACAAGCTTGGAATTCTAATCTAAACTGCGCACCACTCAATGTGTCGCGACCAAAAAGTTCGTCCTTTTTCAAAACGACATAACTTTTTTGTTTCTTGAACGATTTTATTTTGGTCTGTGATGTCTGCTAGCTCCATCCTCTGGCAATTCATGTTATAGATATGAAGCTCACGGTTCTTTAAGTAAATTTCGTTCAGGGTGAATTGTAAAACAGTCAAAAATTTCAATAACTTCATCCAAGCCCAGTGTGTAAAAAATATTTTTTTTTCGTTTTTTACTTTGAAATAATGAAGTATTATGTTTTACCTTGAAAGGTTTTCACATTTTTCGAATTGGAATCTTAGCAACGAAAATATGATTTTTGTTTCAAAAGAGTACATTTAAAAGGGTTTTTGGTAGGCAATACACTCAGTCTTTTTAAGAACAAGAAGATAAAATGGTGATATATTGTTCCTTGAATAATTCTGAACAAGCAACAAGCAACAAACTTCCATTATTTTCAGGCCCCCTAAGCAAAGACCACTTTTTCAAAATGACATTTTGGTGAAAATTTGCGAAAACTAATCCTGAACCGATATTTACGTTCGTGACATGTTTTCTTTATAATTTTGACCTCCTGATTGTAAATCAGTTGTCAAATTTTCAGATAAATCCGAAATTGCCTACAAAAAAAACCTTACTCTTTTGGAAAAAGATCATATTTTCGTTGTTAAGATTCCAATTCGAAAAATTTGAAAAACGTTTCAAGGTAAGACATAATACTTCATTATTTAAAAGTAAAAACGAGAAAAAATTGTTTTTTTTTTACAAACGGGGCTTGGATGAAGTTATTGAAATATTTCACCGTTTAACATGTTATGTGCACATAGGAAATTTACTTGAAGAACCTTGAGCTTCATGAATTGCCAGAGGATGGGGCTAGGAGACATCAAAGTCCAAAATAAAATCGTTCAAGAACAAAAAAGTTATGTTGTTTTGAAAAAGAACGAACTTTTTGGTCGCTACACATTGAGTGATGCGCAGTTTAATCTTCTGATCAGCATATAACTAAATTAATTTAGTTACATGGTTCCGGAAGATTTTGCGAAAACTAATCCTGAACCGATATTTACGTTCGTGACATGTTTTCTTTATAATTTTGACCTCCTGATTGTAAATCAGTTGTCAAATTTTCAGATAAATCCGAAATTGCCTACAAAAAAAACCTTACTCTTTTGGAAAAAGATCATATTTTCGTTGTTAAGATTCCAATTCGAAAAATTTGAAAAACGTTTCAAGGTAAGACATAATACTTCATTATTTAAAAGTAAAAACGAGAAAAAATTGTTTTTTTTTTACAAACGGGGCTTGGATGAAGTTATTGAAATATTTCACCGTTTAACATGTTATGTGCACATAGGAAATTTACTTGAAGAACCTTGAGCTTCATGAATTGCCAGAGGATGGGGCTAGGAGACATCAAAGTCCAAAATAAAATCGTTCAAGAACAAAAAAGTTATGTTGTTTTGAAAAAGAACGAACTTTTTGGTCGCTACACATTGAGTGATGCGCAGTTTAATCTTCTGATCAGCATATAACTAAATTAATTTAGTTACATGGTTCCGGAAGATTTTGTTTTATTTTGCTTTATTATTATATATATTATATATATATATATATATAAATTATATTAAATAGTAAATGCATTTTTCACTAAAATAGTGTAATACCAAATAGCGCGACGAGTATTATTTTTAAGATTACCAGAAAAACTATAAAATGGAAATTTACAAAAAGCTATTAGAATTTGATATTGTCATGATCAAATATTGCAACATTGTTTACTATTATAATTTGCTACACGCTCATCTTTCTGCTTCGGTAACATTTCGTTTTGCTAACGGAGTCACATACATCAAACAACTTTTTGTATGCGCTTTTAATGTCTTTGTCCGTGAAACAAATAGTCGTTAATACCTTGAGCAAACATCCTTGGTTGAATCTATAAACCTTAGCGATAGCAAACTTCCGATTCAAAGTAAAGGGCAAAACGTATCCTACCTTGTCTTTACTCAGCATATTTTGTAGAATTTTTGAAATTCGTTGATTTCAATAGCCCAACAAGTTGCTCATTTTTACAATCGCATATGCATATGCGAGTTATACAAAGTTTAAACATAAATAATATCTCATATGGATACACAAACAAGAAATACAAGAAATTTAATCTTGATATTCGGATTGCAACTAAGTAATCCACCCAAAAATAAGCGGGTTCGTCATAAATATTCATTAGTACGAGTGTAGTAGTGCAGTCTGTGCCGTCCGGAATACATACGCATAAGCCCCGCAATATGCATTTGCCAAACCATCTTCATAAATGGTTACCTGACTTGGGGAAAATTGGAAATTCAGTTCCTGTTATGCCAAGCGTGGGGATTACTTAACAACACTCTAAGAAAACTAGTTGCAGCTTGTACCGCTGGCAAATTAAATTGTTATTATTATGCAGAAACATACCCTACAATAAAAATGTATAATTTTGGATCTTGAGTTCTAAACATGATGTATGAAAACTTTGATTAACATATTCTAAAAATTTGTTCGTAACTAAACATGTGTTTACACAGTAAAAAATTTTGCCCGTGTAAATATTTTAGTGCAGGGGTAAAAATATTAGAGTTGTTTTGTAAGTGTAAAAGTTACATTACAAAATACACTAGGTAACATTTAGTGCTTATTAACTTTATTAAACACATTTAAAGAATATGAACATTATTCATTGGTACATTCACACTATTTATTATTAAAATAAATCAAAAGGACAGAAAAACTTAATGCGAGTGTTTATTACCCCTTAATGTGATAAATAGTGACAAAATGTACACTACAGTGCATGCCAATTTCTTTGTCTGTTTTGATGTTACTAAGAGCTCTTTTTTCTTTACACTACTAGTGCACATTGTATCACAATTAAAGTTAAATTACACTAATAGTGGCAAAATAGACTGAAAAAACTGGTGATAACCGAAATGCGTTTTAAAATGTTTGGTTGGTACCTATCTACCTACGCAGTGCATATCCGGAGATACCGCGTCGTGAAAGTGTGGCATTTTTGTATTATACTTCCTTTTTCTTTAAGCCTTAATACTCAATAAATACCAATATGTTAAAAGGATGTCCATACCCGACCTATATTATATATAAATAATTTACGGCAGTAGGTCGGGTACTTGTAACAACTTTTTATTTTCAAGCGTAATGGTTGTAATATTAACCTATACCTACATTTTTATTAATATTTTGGAAAATTTGTACACGTGTGGTAAATCCCCGACATACAGCCGCCTGACGCCTCTCTATCAATGGGTTCACCCATTTTTTATAACAGAAAAATGGATTACTGATGAATTCTCAAGATAATTCATTGCTTACAAGTTGACAGCCAGTAAAACATTGCATTGATCTAAAACGTTTACGTTTTAAGGAACCATTTTGCTTAATCCAGCCATACGACTTAAATATAAAATTATATTTTAAAAGGCACCGATTTTGATAATTGTCATAGATTTTTGTTTCAAATAAATGTTTCTCTTTATTTACCTTTTCGTTTTATTCACTACCACCAATAGGTTTTATTCAAATAATAGTGTTAATTTACACTACACCTTTTCCAGTTGATATTCAGAAAGTAGCAATTGTAATTCAGTTATTCCAGTTGATATTCAGATAGTAGGAATTGTAATTCAGCTATTCCAATTGATTTTAAGAGAGTAGCATATGTAATTCAGATAACACAATTGATTTTAAGAAAGTAGCAATTGTAATTCAGATAACACAATTGATTTTCAGAAACTTGCAATTGTAATTCATAAAGTAGCAATTGTTTTTCAGATTAAATCAAATGTAATTTAGCCGCAGCAATTGTTTCAGGAACAGTGGGTTGCATACAGTAAATCGATGATGAATTCACACGTTAACTAAGTAAATGAAATTTGTATAAAGTACAAATGAACAAAATTCGGTCCTTACTTGCAATAAGTTGACAATTATGACAAATATACCTACTTAAATGGTGATAAATTTGTTTATTATTGTCAATTCCATGGAAACAAAGCAATATACAAAGAAATACATTAAATTGAGATTTTAGAAAATAAGTAAAATGAAGTATGAAAATGTTATTATTTGTTAATTTCTGAATTTCAATTGACATATTCTGAATGACAATTGTTACTGTCTGAATACTATTTGTAATTTCTGAATATCAATTGCTACTGTCTGAATATCATTTGCAATATCTGAATTACATCAACTACTTTCTGAATATCATTTGAAATATCTGAATTACATTTGCTATTTTCTGAATTTCATTTGCAATATCTGAAAATCAATTGCTGCTTTCTGAATATCAATTGCTACTTTCTGAATATCAACTGGAAAAGGTGTAGAAGTTTGCACTAAAAGAGTAAAAGTACCTTTCTAAAATTAGAACTTTTTCAAAGTAGTGTTAATTTACACTGAACAAAAGTGGGATTTTACCCAGGAAGTGTAGAAGTACACGATTTTATGTAAATTAACACTTTTTAATACAGTGTAAAATTACTTTATCAGTGCTATAGTGTTAAATCATACTTGCTTACTTGGGTAAAATTACACTAGAAATTAACTCTAATTGTAGTGTTATAAAACAACACTATTTAGTGTGGACCTGTGTGAACTCTAATTAGTGTTGCTTAGAACTCTAATTAGTGTTGCTTAGAGTTGATTTTTTTACCGTGTAGTCTAGCTTTAAAACAATATTTCTTTAAACATTCAACTTAAATATTTTTTTTCTTTTTTTCAGTGTTAAGTGCAGTGTCCGTTGGAGTTTTTGCCGGCAGGCCGGCCGCCTCTTAACCGCCCAGCAGGATGGCGTGATCATCCAGCCTCAGTCAGGACACGTCCAACATCGATACTTAGTTTCAGAGCGGTAACAAAGGGAGGGCCGAGCGACCCTCCGCGGGGGGCATGGGCGTCTCATCTTCAGCGGACGACGCGTACAGCATCCCTTTGCTGGCGAAGCTGCTGCACCAGCTTCCGCATTACAATGTTAATTTTCATCTGGTGAACAGCTCGTTTGATCCCAATTCACCCATATATTTAGAGGTAAGAAATAATGTAATGTAAATTTGACTTGGAAAGGTTTACTCATCCTGTAACCCACTATGTGGGTGATAAATAGTTGCTTATATTTATTATTATAATTAAATTAAAATAATAAGTATAAGCAATTATAAATTTTATACTATAAATATATGCGTTCCGTACTGTCCCCTATTTGGGGCTCGAGAGCGACATGCGAATTAATAGCCATTCTCGGGTTCGCCGAGCCGATGCTATACGCCCAGTAGGGTATAGAGGAGGAGGGACGGGAGGGATAGACGTTTGTTGGTTTTTGGGGGACAATTACGCCGACTTAAAACTAAGTACGACGCGGAATCCCCCTAGACCAGTCGATTAGTATTACTCCAAACATTTGGGATTACTATTTGGAGTTGGGGAGTTGTTATTTCGCTGCAGGGGTGTAGTTTCCTAGTCGAGGTCTTCGTCTTGTTCGTTATTGTCATTGCCCGTGTCCTCAGTCTTGATGCCGAAAACCATCAATAGATAGTTCAGTAGCTGGATATGTAACTTGTAGCTTTTGGTGTTTTTTTTTTGTTTATTGCCGCAGTAGTGCGAAATTTCTAACAATTTTTTTTTTAGTTATTGTGTTGTTTTTCACGTTTTGTGGTAGAGTTTTATTTTTTTTTTCATAAATTTCAAAATTAAGTATTGCATTTATTTATTAGTTAAACAAATGACAAGCGCAATTATTCTGTTATCTAATGTTTACAAACCCAGTAGAGTTTGGTTATTATGTTTTTTTTACTATGTTAGGGTTATAATGATTAATGTGTTATTATTATTCTGTGTGTCTAATGTTTATTATTGGTCTCGTTTGGGTTTGCCTTACGCATTTGTTGTTGACAGATTTATTGTCCTACGCAGTGTGCCTTTCTTAGGGTTTTAAAGATGTCTGTCGTGTTTAATTTGCAGATTATGTGTTAGGTCATGCATATGCCTAAAGTTACTTATCATTTTTTTTGCGGATGGCCACCTCTCCTCTTGTTTGACTTCTTTTGTTTGTCCAGGCTTCTAATACTTAATAAGCGTAACTTAACTTAAGAAACCTACGTCTGTTAAGTTGTCTGTTTACATTAACTTAGTAGGTACACGCAAGGATCGTAATATGCAAGCACGCGCAATGTATACATCGATGTAGACTGGGTTGCCTATCTATCTATAAAAGTGAAACAACAAGATATCGCAATATTGTTTTACTGTGCATGTGATTGGCTCCCGTAAGAAACGTATTCCCTTAAGTTGAGCCGGGCCCAACTTTTGAATACATTAAGTTACGTGTGATAAGTTTTCTACGAATGTAAACAGCTGCATTGGTTTCAATGTATTTCAACTTACGTCTCTCACGTAAGTTAAGTGAAGATACGCTTATTAAGTGGATGTGAATGAGCTTTTAGGTAGGTCATGGTTTAAACGAATCCAGTGTCGTGGCAAACAAATGCCTAATTATGACGTTCATTTTCACCATTTTTCTATTCAAAAACAGTAGCACTAATCCCCTTATACCATAATATATTATAAATTTACTTAATCTTATATTTCACCATTTTATCTTGTCTTGGAACTTAAAATCACAATAATTAGCTATTTTTGGAAAAGTAAACTAAAAGTCTTTCTTTAAAGAACTTTTAGAAATATCGCCTTAACAATCCAAGCTACACTATAAATCATGATACTGCAGTATATGAAGAATGTGGTTAAATAAAAATTATTATTATTAAATAAGACAATCATTAAGCCTGATTTATAGATTGCCTTCCTTTCTTCCTTCCTTCCTCCCGTAAAAGATGAACAATACGAAAATCGTAGTGCCATTTATAGATTCCCGTACGGGAATCTTTAAACAGCACAACGGTTTTTGTATTGGCAATCTATAAATCAGGCTTTACAATGACTTAGTTTAAACCAAATATTTAAAAAATGCATACTTTTTTCGTTACCTTGTAGTGGCATTTCATACCAACAATTCGCAATCGACAAGTATTGAAAATATAATTTCATAGCGTCAAAGGTATTAGTTCGAATAGAGCTTCCGAAACTAAATTTTGTAAAAAAGTTATTAAATTGGTAGTTTTATTTTTATTCAGATTTTAATTTTTGTAATTAACTATTTAATAATAATATTTTAATTATGTACCACTCGATAATTAAAAATCGTTTTAAATACTCTGTTAAGTTCCATATTTTAAATTCCATGTCGATGATAGTATTTACCATATCATAATTATAAATAAATAAAACGAATGTTTGACATATGACGAACTACGTTGACCGTGTCACATAATCCGATAAAAACCCGCAAAATCAAGACTCAACATTTCATACTTCAGATGTAGTTACAAAATCAAATTAACAAATGAGTGTTAACGGCCATAAAAACACGGAACAGTTGGACAGTTCAAATAAAAACGTTAGTTGCTCGAAAATGCGAGGATTAGTGGAAACCTCGTACCAATTTTCAATGTTCATCGTGGTTGACTGCCTTTTGCTTACTTTTACTTACAACGTAAACAGCAAATTAAGACGCATTCCCACCGATTAAATAAATAAATTAAGATACGTACACGCTTGTCAACAAGTTAGATGGTTTTAGAACTGATTAATATGTATTGATAAAGGAAACATAAATTACCTTGAAAACTTGATAGAGTAGTTGTAAGGAAAATATAGTTTATATCTAGAGATAACTTCTTGTTTTAAGACTGCAACTCCAAGATGATTATTGCAAATTTAATAAGGTTTCGTATTGTAACACATTTGTTGTTCTATATACAAAAAAAGTCCCACTTTGACATTTGAACACAAATAATTGAGGTTATCTATCTGTCATTTTAAAGCTAATTTCGTCCTATATATTTTTTAAAAAGAATACATAAGGGTGATTCTACAAAAGTTGGACAACTTGATGTGATCAGTCAATAGAGTAGTTATTTTAATATTTTTTGTAAATATTTTAGTAAATTACAAAAGATCCAGGTTTTTTCTAACTTGTCCACCCAATTTTAATGTATTTTTTCAAAAGCAAGTTTGTAGAAAAACATAATAAATATTCAAAACATCACACACCTTGGCTTGTCACAACTCCTGAATCAAATATTTACAAAAAAATACATAAAAATACTACAAACTATAAAACATTAAATAATGTATTTTTCATATTTTATCATAGATTCGAATAATAACAATTTTTAAAAAATTGATAATCTTTGTACTCACTTTTACCCGTCAGTTCTGTGTCCAATGTTAAAATTCAAAATTCCTGCGAAATATTGAAGTTTAAACGTCAAGTCCTCGTTTTAACTTAAGTGTTGGTAAAGAGCCCGCCCTTTGCACGACAGTCATCTTGAAAACAATGCAAGCGGCGAAGTTGTGAATGCACGTATAGTTCCAGTCAAAATTTCAGTACTGTGGTGAGTAGTTATTTTCTTAGGTATATATATTTCATTGTAATTTATATAAGGCTATAGTGATTTGTTGATAATTAGCATCCACTAATAAAAAAATTAGGTAAAATACTTAATTCTGAATTATAATCTCAAATTTGTATCCCATTCTGATGAATGGGATACAAATTTACCGTGTCGTCAGTTCCATGTTCGATGTTTCGGTTATTTTTTTTCGCAAACTTCAATTTAAATTCTGCTTGCGCAGAACTTGTTCATTTAATGCCATTATGTCAAAATTTGGTGTGGGTCCCATACCTAATAATTAGAGATATCGTTATACCCAAAATCCTCCAGCCGCCACTGATTTTAAGATAGTTAATGTATAATATGCTCAAAGTTGCAATAAATCTTATATTTTCCAATAAATTATGTATTTAATTAGTACCCTGGTATACTCGTCACTTCCCTTGCATTCAAATTTAGAAAACACAGATATTTCAGAAACTGTTTGAAAAAGTGACTGGCCCGGTCTGGAACAGTATATTTATTATATTATCTATGTTCTCATAAGAAAATACTGTTTAATTTTCTCCGAAAACTATATAAACAAAATGAGGTCAAAAGTTGCCCAACTTTTGTAGAATCACATAAAGGAAAAATATATATTGTATTATTTTTGCGAATTGCGAACAATTTAATTATATTTAAAATGTAGGGTTAAATAGTAATTTTACTGCAAAAGGTTTCGAGAGTACAATTTTAAATTATACTTTGACACACTCGTCGATTTATTAAACGTCCGTAGCGCTTTTAAAAGCGTACGCCAAATGTTGAAAATTTTGTTTAATTAATTCGCCTTTGTTTCAATTTAAAACTTTCATACATTATTTAGTTTTCATTCAAACATTTTACTTTTCACTCGCCTATTTAAAATTTTGTTTTGTTTAAAAAAACACCACTTACATACGGTTACCAATGAAAAGCAATTTGTTTAATAAACTTCTCGGTGCATCAGTTGTTCCGAACTTTATGGCTTTGAGCTTAACAAACGGCTGCAAAAGGATGTTCGGGAAGTATAAATAAACCTTTTTTACTTTTCTTACGACAAAAATAAACCCCATAAAATCTGTACGCTGTTCAACATGATTTATTAAAGCTCGCCACTAGCTCAACTTGGCCATGTTTTACACACAGTTTTTTGCTAGGTTTAACGTAAATAAAAGCGAATTTACGCCAGATTGTCACTATGTCACTCCGCTTTCAGAGCACAAATAAGAAAATATATTAAGTTTTTTTGTATACCTTAAAATACTTTAAACAAAACAATAACTCTGCGTCTTAATTTCCTATTTATTTACTACTTTTGTTAGTACAGTGTGTTCCACGGTTACCTAAATTTTAATTTATCACAAGACAATTTAGGTAAAATCGATCTATAATTAATATTATCACTAGAATTTTATTACTATCAAGGTAAAAGGCCAAAACTTTGTTTGGAAAATTTAGGTGAAGTAAATTCAAAAAATAGATTATTAGTGCAAAATAATACGAAATGTCCATATGTACAAGGTGTGTTCAGAAAATATCGGGAATTTTCGT